TTTTGGTTACTGTAAATGTATTGTCTCTGCTTTCACATTAAGTTGTTTTTCTTAGAAAATCTGATGAAAGCTGAAAGGCTGCAGTGGTTTACCTAAGTCCATGTTTTTGGAAGCAAGAAGTTAGTTGAAAACATTCCCTAAACAGTTTACGTTGCTGAAGGAAAAGTTTTTTTCTCAACATTATTGAAGTCTTGAACTGAGTTGGTTTTTCCAGTTATTGTAAGCCCAATCCTTCACTAGATAGCATATTAACTAAATTAGGTATTTGATTCAAAAATGTTAATGTCATCAATTCATTTTGATTAAAAACTAAAAGAAATAGATAATAAAAAATTCCAGGTCCTGAAAACCCTTACAAGCAGTTATGTCTCAGCTTTGGAATGTTCTCCCATTTTATCACACTTCATGCCGAATTTTCTTCTCTTTCTGCTTTGTTTGCTATAACAGTTTGAGCAGAACACACTTTAAGCTCCGTCAGCTGTTAACCAGCAGGGAGAAGCTGATGACGTAAAGACATGCACTGCAGTTTAGAGAGTAGAAAACTTTAAAGTTCATGTTATACTGTTTCAGGAGATTTGGGGAAGAAACTTTAATTAACTGTGGTGTTAGCTAGCTTTAGCTTTGGGGTTTCTACTGTGTTTTTTTTTTTTTTTTATAAATTCTCTGTTGTTTTATGAAGCTTTAACAGGCCTAGCCTTTTTCATATGTTCTTTGTTTTCAATGTTTTCTTTTATTTGATGTTTTCGTGTTCGGCATTCTGTTAAGACTAGACAAGGCAAGTTTATATAGCATAATTCAGCAAGGGTCTGTTTCACTAAGCAGGTTTAACAAATTCAGATTTAAATCTGCAACTCTCAATTGATCTAACCTAAAGTCAGGAACTCTGAGTGTTCGGTTTAAAAATGGCCGCTATCAATTGCTTCAATCAATTTTAACTAGGTCCACTCACAGTTAAGCACATGCGCAACAAGTATGAAAAGCCATTATCAGCAGAGCACTGATTCAACAAGTCACCATGACAACAGGCAACAGGAAGTGCCTATTTCAACTCACCTGGAACTAGAGATGTGAATGCAGAAATTTAAAAATACAAAATAAAAAAGGAGAATGTGTTTAGAAGACAGATAAACAGCAATACAGCTACAACGGAGAGGAATATGGTGCAGGAGAAGATTGTTGCTTCAGTTAATGTGTAAGTTTCTCTGAAGTGGGCTATGGCAGGCCCTTTTTATATTAATTAAAATCACTTCTCTCTCTTGTTCCATTTGTAGATCACTAAAAGAAGATTGTTTCTGATTAAAATCACACTCCAAGACAACTGCTATAATATATTTTCTAAATTACATTTTTGTAGCAGAAGCTGAATTTTAGAAAGTACAAAAAAGAAAATTATAGTAGTAAGAATTAAGTTTTGTATATCTAGATATGTTTACACATTTTAAATGGCCATTCTGCTATTTATCGGCTTGTCTGAAAATGTATTTATGATCTCTGAAAAACATTTTTTCATAGTTAATAATAAAAATGACCAGTAATATTAGGAATATGTTATGATGGGCTAAGGACTTGACCCATATGCAGAACACTACTGGTGACTGAGTAAAAGTTTGAACAAAGCTTATTGAGAAACACACACAGAAAATGTAATGACTGGTTCAGGTGCTGGTCCGGGACTGGTTTCAACTCCTTTCTGGAGAGATGAGAGTTAGCTTTGCAGTTTGATTGTATGATGAGAGAGATGAATCTTTCAATGTACCTGAAGAGGTTCTGACAGATCCTATGAGAGGGGGAACCGGTTGGGTCCAGAGACAGTTGAAGAGGCAGAGAGTTAAGCAGCAGCAGCGTCTAGCTTCAAGCTTGAGAGTTTTCAGACTTGAGTATGTTTCCAAGCTCTTCCTCTGAGAGCTGATGAAGGAATCCAGATTGAGATCTTCAGGTTTGGCTTACTTGGCAGGCAGGCAGGTTCTCAGATTAAGCTCATCCAGAGCTTCAGACGTCGGTGGGATTTCCTGTAATCAAAGAAGACAGAGGCAGATTAGAAAAGCTTGTTTCTCTCTAAAGTCTACAAGATTTCCTAAATTCTTAGAGGCTCAGGTTCGCTAACCAAACTTGGTCAACACTGCGGCGTCGAAGGAAGGTCTGACTGCTGCTTATGAAGGGTGGTCTTCTGATGAGCTGATGATCCTCAGGTGTGGTGAGGACTCCAGCTCAGGAAGCCCACAGCGCTCTCTGCTGGAGACAGGTGGCAGATCTCCAGATCCCAACAGAATATGAAGGTGTGAAATTCATTTATAGACATCCAGATATCTATAAATGTCTATACTAGATGTGGAGAATGTCATTTTGTTCGAAATGGTCATTTAGACAAAAAAAAAAAAAATGTTGTTTTTTTATATCAGAAAACACATTTATTAAAACTAGTACTGTACATATCAAAATGGCTTGCCATAGTTGTTGTTAGCGTGAAAATATTATGGGATTATGTTTTGAATGGTAGATCCATTAATCTATTTAGGTGAAATCTTATTTTAGCAAACCTCAGTTAATGAACCTTACTTAATGAATCTGAAAGCAAAGATTATATATATACTTTTTTCTTTTCTTTTTGCAAACAAAGGTTTACTCTCAGGTTTATAAAAAACAACAACATCAGTTTTAATTTCTTTGTAAAATTGACAGGATGTAAGGAATGACCCAAGTATTGACATTTATTTTTAAATGTTCTATCACATGGTTTCTTCACATCTGGAAACACCTATCTTTTTGACCTATATAACCAAACTATCAGCACATTACATCATCCTCCATTGCTCTGTTTTAATCTGTTTTAATTCAAAACAAATGGCTGCATAGTTGTTGAGTATCTTGCTCAATGGGTCACTTAATGTTTATGTGTTGGAATTTAACCTTTAAGCTTTATGTTCTCCAGGCAGCAACCTTTTCAGTTTGACTGAAGTAGATAGTCTGCTGGACCAGGATGATCTCATTTAAGTCTCAGTGGAAACAGTTCGCACTAATTGAATTCTCTTCTTGTTCCACAGTAAATCCACCTGGAGAGGATTTTTTTTCCCCCATATTGATGAAACTTTTAAAATATTTTCAAGCATATTTGCAAAACATCAAAAGCAGCAACAGATAATTATCTGCTGGTATTGTGTTGCATATGCATTTATATATATATCTAATGCAGATGTATGCTTTCTTCGATAAACATCCGTATGAAGTATTATTACAAGCATGTAAAAAAGTAGGGATGTCCCAGTTTGTAGATGTTAAGCTTGGATAAAATCTCCAGTAGGTGCTTCTGACATGATGTTTATATCTGTGTTTATAGCCCACCTAACCCTGAACAACACTCTAATTGTTCTTGTGGTTTGTCCTTGGTAAAAGGTGGAAGGTTGGGGGGTTCAGCCCACATCTGGCTCCCAGATTTGAGTCAAAGGATGTGGGAGAGTGTACAGTTTAGTCCATATTTTCCCATAGTTAATAGATGCATATCAGGGAAGTATAACAAACACAGACATTGAAAAGAAGGTAAATTGAATGATGGGTTCAGTTAAGCAAATACTTTGGAGATTAGAGTCCTATTCTCTGTCTGCCAATGAGTAACGGCCGCGAAACAATGCTGTTTATTCTGTTTGTTAGTGGCAGTTTAGAGATAACGATCTCAAACCCAGCATGAGCAGTTATGATTCCATCTGTCTGTAGCTAGTTAAAAAGGAAATACAGAAAAAAAATTGATATGTTCATTGAAAGAAGTTTGCAACTTGATATCCTGGTTGTAAAAGCGATTATACAGTACCTTAGGAATTACTAATGTGTATTCTCTTTGAAAACTTTCTCCTTTTATTATATTTCAACCACAATCCAGAAGATTTTATGTAATGCATCAACTTAAAGCAAATCATTAATTTACGGTTAAAAGAAAAGTAGTTTTTATAAAACTAAAAACCAGCTCTCAACCCCTCCTCAGTAATTAACCTGCAACACTATATATATTTTATGACAGAGTATCAGGGCAGGCTAGAGATTTTTTTTCTAATTACCAAAACAAAGTCATAATATTATGAGAATAAAGTTGTACATTTACGAGAATAAAATTACGAAAATAAAGATGAAAAATAACTAGAATGAAGTCGTCATAACACAACCGATTTCAGAAAGAAAGCTTTGCTCCGACCAGCTCCACAAAATAGCAACCTGAGTCCACTTTGACCTACTGCCCAATTTCATGCTGATGCTAAAAGATTTCCTTATTTGTCAAACCGATGCCAAGGTATAACTTAACATGATATTATTATTATAAAAGTTGTCATAAAATACAACTTTAGGTTCTTAATATTTATTCTCGTAGTTTTATGACTTTATCTTCGTAATGTTACGACTTTATTCTCGTAATATGACTTTATTCTCGTAATATGACTTTATTCTCGTAATGTTACGACTTTATTCTCGTAATATGACTTTATTCTCGTAATGTTACGACTTTATTCTCGTAATGTTATGACTTTATTCTCGCTTAATGTTACGACTTTATTCTCGTCATATGACTTTATTCTCGTAATGTTACGACTTTATTCTCGTAATGTTACAACTTTATTCTTGTAATTTTACGACTTTATTCCCATGGTTTTATTACTTTATTTTTGTAATATTACGATTTTATTCTCATAATTTAATGACTTTATTCTCGTAATAATTTGACTTTATACTTGTAATATTACGACTTTATTCTCATGATTTAATTACTTTATTTTTGTAATATTACAACTTTATTTTTGTAATTTCATTACTTTATTCTCATAATATACAGCTTTTTTCTCGAAATAAAAAAAATCTCTAGCCTGTCCCTAATTCTCCATCATTAAATGTGTATATATATATATATATATATATATATATATATATATATATATATATATATATATATTTCTACTTGAACTCATATTGGTTGGCTGATGTATTGTTCTTTATAAGGACTCAGATTTCTTTTCTCCCAGGTACAAAGTTGTCGATGGGAAAACAAGAAGCCTTTGAGATATTCATAAGAGATCATGAAGAACATCAAACCATTGAAGAGAACAAGAATATTCTAAAAGAAAGGTGAGTGACAATAGGAACAAGATATTCCACTAAATACCATGTTTTATAGTTACCCCTTTCATCTAGGATTTCTTTTGATTACATAATGTTTAAAAGTTTTAACAAAATGTAAAAATGTATAGGTAGTGAGGTTAAATAGACATTCTTTTTACCTTTTTCATAGTCGTTGCACCTGAAAGCACACCTTTTTGTTGTTACCTTAATTCTAGTTTTCCAATAATTTATTTAAAATAACAATATCCAATATAGTAAACCTTTTTTTCAGTCTACTTTTCATACTATTTTACTCTTGTGCTCAGTTAAAACCTGCTGTCTTTTAACCAGATCGGCCGAGACCAAAAGACTTGGAGAAAAACTGAATGAAGCCAAAAACCGAATCAGTAAGTTCTCTCAGTGTTTGGAAGTTTTCCTCCGGGTATAACATTACACTTTTTAGCTGTGAACATCTTTCACATCTACAATTTGCTCTAATTATTATTCCTGCGGTATCCAACCAAAAAAACGTCAACACCAGATCACTGTCAGGGTGTCGAGTCCCTAGAGCGTCAGAATGTTTTTTACAACATTCCTAAACATTTTCCAGAACTGGGAGGCATTCAAATTTCCATCCACTTACAGTAGACTTCCAACCTGTGCTTTTTACGAGATGATCTCCGGCTGTTTTATGGCGATTCTGTCAGAGCTCCCTTGAGTTCTTCCTGATAGTCTTCACCTTAACCAAGCCATAATGAGCCTTGGCATTAACTTGGAATGCAATGGAAGGGAATCCAAAGATGTTCAGTCTTTCTGCTGGTTTGTCAACACATGCACCACAGTTAAAGCTTCACCTGCGTTACTACAATGGCTTGATTTGACAATTATTTGTATAGATACTAGATCAATATAAAATCCAACCATCAACTATTTTTCAGTTTCTTTTTCTTTACCTTAAACAACAAATCAAAACAAAAAAAATCCTCTGGATGAAACACCTTCCATTGTCGCTAATCAAATGAACTTGTTTCCTCTGTCAAAGCTGAAGTTTTTAGTAATTTTCTGGTATGGAACAATCAAGTGTGTGTGGCAAAATAACGCCAAGATGGAAAGGCATGAAAAATGACCATAACAAAGCAATTGTTGCTGTACATCAAGCCCAGACTCAACATATTGCAAAGTGTAAATCCCCAACTGATCATTAGGAAGAAACAAACTTTTACTTATGTGCAGGAATGAATTGTCACCTTTTTAAGGAGTGGACATTGCTGCATAATTTACCATAAGGTCAATCCTTTTAATCATCAGAGAAAAACCAAAAAAGCCCAGAAGGTACATCTGATGTAGAGCTCAGTTAGTGAAAAACTGTTAGAAAAAGACTTTTAGAAACATTAGGCTGTTCTCTCTGAAAAGAAAATGGCATTGGGACTTATGCATGTAAACTTATATCTGAAAAAAAAAAAAAACTCAAACATTTAGAGCAATGTCTTTTGGCAAGATGGGATCGAAGATGTTTGACGATAAAGCAGTTATTTCTGCAGTTAATTGAACCCAGCGTGTCTGCACTAAAGCCTAATACCCATTGTTATCCAGTTGGGGAGAGTGTCATGGTTGGTTTAGGGATTAAACCCACATGCAGAACACCACTGGAGACTGATAAAAAGTTCAACAGAGTTTATTGAAGGTTTTCACAAATAATAACATGGACTAGATTCAGGAAACTGGTCCGGGCAGGATTCTCAGGCGTCTGCAGAGACAGATAGTTTGATTAGCCAGTTTAACAAGTGAATTGTTGAGTTTCAGATGTTTCTGGAAATACCTTGAAGAGGTTCAGGCTTTCTCCTTTGAGAGAGGGAACCGGTTGGGTTCCTGTTGGTTCAGCAGGTTCAGCAGAGTGTTCAGCAGCAGCAGCGTCTAGCTTCTGACTTTCCAGTGACAGACCTTGGTTTAACTGATTAGCTCTTTCCCTGAGAGCAGCAGATGGATTCCAGAGTGAGATCTTCAGGTTTGGCTCTCTAGGGCAGGCAGGCAGGTAACAGGCTAAGCTCATCCAGAGCTTCAGACAAGAGACAGGTTTCCTGTGAGTGAGAAGACAGAGGCAGGTTAGAATTGGGTTTCTCTTGGGAGACAAAGATTCTAGAAATCACAGAGGCTCAGGTTCGCTAACCAAACTTGGTCAACACTGCGGCGTTGAAGGAAGGTCTGGCAGCTGCTTAAATAGGCAGGTCTCCTGATGGGCTGATGAACGTCAGCTGTGCTGGAGGGCTCCAGCCCAGGAGATCCACAGCGTACCCTGCTGGAGACAGGTGGCAGATCTCCAGATCCCAACAGAGAGGTGATATGGGTTTGAAAATAGCTGAACAAGAATCAATATATAGCTAAGTCCAAACCTCAAATGGGTCAATGTGCGGCAGTCTGATGTGAAGAGGGCTGGGCGAGGAAACAAATATCTGCAAACCTCAATAAACTGTAGGAATATATGAACACAACATAACCCCAATATCTATAAAAAAAATATCTATAAAAATAGAAAATAACCCCTACAGCTAATTCTGCAAGTGTCTGAAACATAAAAGGGATATTTTCTCATTCACAGCATTCTATTCACTTTTTGTTGTATAAATACTAATCTAAAATTCATATAATTCCTCGTCCTCCTGTGGACAGCTGTAGTTTGCCAGAGTTGATGTCTATCTCGAGTGGTCTATTTGGAAATATAGAATATATTAAGGATTATATTTTTCCAACCTGGTATTGATTTAACTTTGATGTGAACATGACCATGCCTTCACTGATTCAAATCCTGTGGAGGACAGACCGCTGCAGAAGATTCTTTCTTCCTACAGCAACATCATCTGCGACTCATTGAAAAAAAAACTCAGGTTTTCAAAATTTACCATACACATTAGATTTCTTTTTCGCATAATTCCTAGTTTATTAGTCTGTTGACTTATGCAAAGTGGAGCAAGATAGTAATCATTTGGATAAAAGCTGAGCAATGCTGCACAGGAAGCCTTTAAGAAAACTAAAGTTTTGCATAAACTGCCTGATGCAGATTTCTGCAGTTGGTGGAATGTAGTGAAGTTGTATGTTTTATTGCATTTTCTTTCAAAGACTATATACATACATTTGCCTGTAGTTCTGTGTGTTTGTGGCTCATTTTACAAGCTGTTGAAATGGATTTGCTTACAGAACAACCAGACCTCCTCTCTGCCTTGAATCACTCTCAGTGGTTTGGCAGACTACTGCTAGTTATCCTCATCTATGCCTCCATGTATTCAGCACCATCACAATCTATTGTATTCCTCCTTCTTTTAGCCCAAGAAGTGCTGACATGACTGTGTGTTTGCATGCATCTCAAAGAAATCACATATGGCAGCGTTAAGTCACCCTATATACGTAGCCCACACAGAGCCCATGAAGATAAAGTTTATATAATATTATTGGATGTAAAGAACAGCATTCTTCTTGTGTGAGTGACTGTTTTTAATGGAATAATGGTTGCACCGTTTAACTGGTATTTAAGGGCTTCTTTGTCATTTTGGAAGCCATAGACTGGACACCACCTGTTTCTTATTCCTAATTAAAACCATGAAAAAGAAAAAACCGTCTAATATAGACAAACATTTTTTCTCAGTTAGATGTATCCAGAATCTAACAGGGGATAAAGAGAGAGATGGTAGCACAAGCAAACATCAGTGTCTTAACATCACTCTATTGTTCTTGGCCACTGCAGTCCGCTCTGGAATCCAGTCCCACTGGATGGGGATATATTTTGAGCCCTTCGGTTCAGGGAGTGCATGAATGTGTATGTATTTGCTCAGAGAGATCAGTGATACATGTCCTCTGCAGTATAAAAGTGGAAGGCAGCTGGAAACAAGCAGCATCTCCTGATTACTCGGCCAGATGTTGGAGGATTTATGCAGCGCAGTCCTAGGTAAAGCATCTGGTATCTCTTAGGTAATGATCTCTGCTCACCTTTTAATAAATGACCCTTAAGCTCAAGACGTTTTAAACCAACACTAAGCAACCTTTCAGCCTTCATTAAATATTTTCATAACTTTTGGGATTAGATGTCAACTTACAACCAGTTGAATGACACCTCTGTCATGGCCCGAGGGGGTCAGTATCGCTAATCAACTTTGAGGAGGTGGCAGGGTTAAGGCTGGTTTATGCTCAGAAACTCTCCAAAATTGTAGGTGACCGCAGACAGGAGGCTTGTGATTGGTGTAATCTACATCCGCTCTACACTATGCGTATTTCCTATTTGGTAACTTACCGGCTTGTTTTGTTTGTATGACCGCCATTGTGGAAAACAAGTCCAGTTTTCCACAAAGACTAGTGAAGTTGGACCAGCTAGAAGAGCAAGGTGTGCAAGAACGCTGGGATCCTTTTTCCACCTGGATCCCCGCTCTTTTCCACCCTCATGTCCCTCTTGCGTTTTAGCGTGGAATAACATAGCACAGACCACGCTTTAAAATTGGGCATAAATCAAAAATATCTGCGTCATACCTGAGACAAGCTCACTACGACACACTGCTGTGGGAGTATAACCAGCCCTTTACTACCAACGGTATACGTCACCTCCCACCCCCGTCTCCCCATTCGTTATATAGACGGAAGTCGATGTGGCGAAATTTCCTTGATAAACTGTATTTTCATGCAGAGTTCATATGCAGGGTTGACATTTAGGCAATGTAACACCTTCCTGCTGGGTTGTATACATGTGTTTACTGTGAAATTATCAAACATAACATGATATTTATCTGATTCAAGGCTCTAAACTCATCAGCACTTCATTCACTGACAAGTATGATGAGGTCTGTGTAGGTACCAGATCTGCTCTGGTGGTGAGTTCTGCATGGGGCCTTGTCCTTTCTTATTAAGTCAGCATACGGAAACACCACTCGGACAAACTGTATTGCACCCATTTCTTAAGAATCACATCTCCTCTGGAGTCTCAACATATTGTTACCCATATTTCCCATTATTTTACATTTCATTGGAGATTTAAAGAAGCCAAAAGTAGAAAATAATCATTCTCGATCTTGAAAGAAAGCCAGTTTTTTAGTGTTTATTGTCGAATATATAAACTATATTATGCAAAGGCCTCCTTTCTGTATTTTGCTTCAAGTGACCTAGACTTGTCACAGATTTAAATAGTCTTGATCATTAGTTACTGTGCTTCCTAAAGTTATTGTCTTATTTATTTTAGGTAGACTCTTCCAACTTATTTAAACTACACTCAAAAAATAAATAAGAATAACTACAAAAAGCTACTTTTACAAGACCTTAAAAATATATTACAGTTTAATAAGCTTCACATTTTGTCTGCTTTCATTCAGAACCTTGACCATAGTTTGTTGGAATTTAGTATGATAGACAAGCAGAAAGTGGTGCTTAGGTG